TGTAGGAGATATGCCCTAGAGGCAATAATAAATGCTATTATTTATCTTCATGTTCATAATTATGTTTATGTTCCATGCTATAACTACTATGGTTCTCGAGTCTGCAATAACACGAGGCTCGGAGGAAGACTCATATGCACATGTGGAATAATAAACAGTAAGAAGTATTCCTAGTCTGGCCTCAAAGACTAGCTCAAGTGTTGCCAGAAACTTTGAGTGCACAATGTTAAGAAAACATTTGTGTTGAGTCGACCCGGATTGATGTTATGCTATGAGATTCATTCGTCATAAGTTAATGGTTAATAACACGGATATGGTTAACGTTTGCATGATTCCTTAGACCATGAGAATATCGAGTTTCTTCATGCTTGCTTCATGAACTTTGGGGTTTGTTAAACGTCGTTCGTAAATGGGTGGCTATTACGGTGGCTTACGAGTTCATGGAAAAGTATGTCAAGTAACTTGATAGCTCAAGATAGGGATTTGCTCCTTTGACGATGAAGAGATATCTCTGGGCCCTCTCAGTGTTATAGTATCCATCATCGTCTGGCCAGACACTTTGTGATTTGATCACGGGGATGCCGGAACACGGGAACGAGAAAATAGAACAATACCGGTAACGAGGTAACTATCATAGTGGACAAGATGTTGATCCACGGGGACGCCAACATGTCTCACCTTGGGTATTTGTAACATATCGCGAAGGAACATGAATAGCACACGGCAATTGGAGGTTCACTCTAATATTCATTCGTGTGGGTATAAGGGTCAATATGGGTGTCCATGGCTCTGATGTTGATCATTGATCGAAAAGTGTTCTGGTCATGTCTATGCTTCACCGAACCTATAGGGTCACACGCTTAAGGGTCATCTATATGTTGAATACTAGATAGGGAGTCTGAGAGAAATATGCCGAAAAAGTTTCGGAGACAATGGAAGAGTTCCAGAGAGAGAATAGCGAAATAGTTTTGTAAAACGAAAAGTTATTTCGGGGTATACCATTAAGTCAAATTGGTTTTGGGACACGCCTGATAATTCTTGGAGGGTGCCAGAATTATTCTGGAAACTTCTGGGAATTTTTCGGGATAAAATCCGGAAATGTTCCGGAGCTGCCGGTATCGATTTGGTTGCTTTTCGCAGATGAAGTTTTCTGCGACATAATACACATCGGTATCTTCAATTGAGCTGTTGGTGAAGTTTTCTGCGACATAATACCCATCGGTCTCTTCCAATATTATTTGGCATGGACCTTTGGATGATACTTACGGCTGCTGCTACTCTGATGCCATAAGACACTAGCAGAGTGCCCGTGGGTTGCTACGGGCTACAATGCATATAAATGAATTGAATAAATGATTAGGGTCATCTCCAAGTCTACGGGCTATAATGCATATAAATGAATTTCCTTATTTCCTTTTTGTGCTCTTCTTTTTGTTACTGAAATAAATCTGTGATTTAGTTAGGCTAACATCAATGGGCTACAGGCCATAACCATGTACTACCTCCGTCCCACAATATAAGAACGTTTTTAAGCTATGTTAGCTTGAAAAACGTTCTTATATTATGGGACGGAGGGAGTACATTAGTACTGTAGGAAAACAACTACGGAATTTTAGTCTATTGATAGTCATAACTATACACCATCCTAAGTAAACATAACACTCTGTCAGTGCCAAGATAGATTATGCCTAACAGATTGTTTGTGACTCTTGTCGATCTTCAGTAACCAGAGTTTGGGCGTATGTGCCGGAGTTTTATTCCTTTGGAGTTTCTCTTCCAGTGTTAACTATTGGACCTTTGGGGGATACTTCTGGTTGCTACTTAGTGCCATGTTACATTTGATGCCATAAGACATTCTATTTCAGAAGTTACACGCACATTTCGATTGCAACGGAACCGAACTGTTTCATACTAAGGAATTTATGTTGAATTCCAAACATACCTGTTTTTACCTCTGAATTGACATACCAAGCATGCCTGTTTTTACCTCTGAACTGAAATTCCAAACATGCCTGTTTTCACCTGCTACGGTAAGTGCACCTGGTACATATCTGTGATGTGATCTCATCCTGTTGGCCGGTTGGTTTGGGTGTTGCTGCAGGTTCGGCACCTGGTACATATCTTGGAGGTTCCCATAACCGCCGTATTTCCCCTCTCAATTACCCCAGAAATAAATGTTTGCAGTTGAGTCATTTATGAATACTGTAACCACTTGCAGTCTCTTCAGCAATATATACTTGTTGATCCTCAGCAACCTGCACTACTACTAAAAAGTAAAAACTGGCTAGTGTTACTTGCCGAGGCTGCAATCTGCTTGCTTCACACTTTTGTTTCGGACAGTAAATAATCAGTACATTGAAACTGCTAGTGTTATTTGCAGGTCAATTTATAGGACTATTACAAAGAACATGTTGTTGAAGAATAATAAGTTAGTATATTTTGCACTGTTAAAAAGAACAACATGGCATCATTTTCACATCAGTTTGAAGTTTTAAAACATAGAGCAGGTTTTGGGCACTTTGCATCATAACGGACCCTTTTAGAATCCACATGACTATTCTTTTTTTTGCGGGTGAGAATCCACATGACTATTCAAGGGCATCAGTGCACAACTTACAATAGCAGCGCATTAGAACCCAAAATGGCACAAAGAACAGATAAACTAACACAAGTCTATGAATTTACAGGCTAATACCTATTTTGCCATTATAGCACTATATTATTATTTTCTATTTTTCTCTTTGTCTCCACTCTGTTTTTCAGACCATTATTAGAGATGAGGAATGAGTCCAAGATGCTGTTGAGCATGTCCACGAAATGTTAGACAAAGAGGTGGCTGCCGGAACATGTCCTACACGCATATTTGTTTGTGGATTGAGCCAAGGAGGTGAAGCCCTGAAATATGCGCCTATCATCTCTGCTGTCAAGATAGCAATGACGATTTTGATTTCCATTCGCCTTTCGCATGTGCTCTAGCCATAGCAAGCGTTCTGCTCTACCCCAAGACTTTAGGTGGGTGTGTTGTTTTCAGTGGTTCAGTTCCTCTGAGCAAATCATTTGCTGATAGGGCGGCACCT